GTCCAGGGAACATCAGCAGCAGGATCATATTATTTCATATGTAGAGCATACATCGCTGGGGAGGATCCTGTGATATACCAGAGTGGTGTTTGTTTCCCAAAGCGAGTTGACCCTGCAGGGTCGATGTAAGGAGGTGAGGGGCCATTGCAGCTAATTTTGGATATACACAGTGTGGACACTTGACAACACTTGCATGAAGATGTGTATGAGATACACTATATATATATATATATGTGTGTGTGTGTGTAGTATATATATATATATATATATATATATATATATATATATATTATATATATATATATATATGGACATGTTTACACAGAGTGTCGTTTTTTTAGAGTATTTTGTGTTATATAGTTTGTTTGGTCACTTGGTCACTTTGAATATTCCCTTATAGGGAATACACAGATTGCACTTTATTGAGCAAAATTTATCACTTGGTCACTCTTAATGTTTCCCGGTGGAATACACGTGTTACACTTTATTTGCACTGTTGCACATTTATATGATATTTATTGATTTGCATATTTATTTATTTACATGTATGTTTGTTTTAGTATTTAGCGCTGCACTATTTATTTATTCATTTTTATACACAGTCCCTCCATTTTCAGGGGCTCAAATGTAATTGGACAAATGAATATACTGTATTTTTCGCTCCATAAGACGCACCTAGGTTTTAGAGGCGAGAAACGAGAAAAAAAAATATTCTGAACCAATGGACTGCAGACACAGTACAGGACATGACCAGAGACTGCAGACAGTACAGGAGATGACCAGAGGCTGCAGACAGTACAGGAGATGACCAGAGGCTGCAGACAGTACAGGAGATGACCAGAGGCTGCAGACAGTACAGGAGATGACCAGAGGCTGCAGACCGTACAGGAGATGACCAGAGGCTGCGGACACAGTACAGGAGATGACCAGAGACTGCAGACACAGTACACGAGATGACCAGAGACTGCGGACACAGTACAGGAGATGACCAGAGACTGCGGACACAGTACAGGAGATGACCAGAGACTGCGGACACAGTACAGGAGATGACCAGAGACTGCGGACACAGTACAGGAGATGACCAGAGACTGCGGACACAGTACAGGAGATGACCAGAGACTGCGGACACAGTACAGGAGATGACCAGAGACTGCGGACACAGTACAGGAGATGACCAGAGACTGCGGACACAGTACAGGAGATGACCAGAGACTGCGGACCCGTACAGGAGATGACCAGAGACTGCGGACACCGTACAGGAGATGACCAGAGACTGCGGACGCAGTACAGGAGATGACCAGAGACTGCGGACGCAGTACAGGAGATGACCAGAGACTGCGGACGCAGTACAGGAGATGACCAGAGACTGCGGACGCAGTACAGGAGATGACCAGAGACTGCGGACGCAGTACAGGAGATGACCAGAGACTGCGGACGCAGTACAGGAGATGACCAGAGACTGCGGAGACAGTACAGGAGATGACTAGAGACTGCAGACAGTACAGAGGATGACCAGACAGTGGACCTTTGGGGAGGGAGGGGGAGCGGGTACCTGAATTTGACAGGTACCTGCTTCCACTTCTGTGGAGTTGCCCTTTTGTTAATTTGGGCACCCGGCTGTGATAGCCGGGTGCCCACTGCGCATACGCGAAAAGCGCTGCGCTTTGAGAATGGCCCGGGGTCTTCTGGAACACATGACAAGTCCCAGAAGACGCCGGGCCAGTCACAAAGCACATCGCTTCTCATGCATGCGCAGTGGGCACCCGTCTGTCACAGCAGAGTGCCCACACTAAAGATGCCGGCGTAGGAAGACTATACAGCGCTGGACCGAGGAACAGGTAAGGTCCTGCTGAAGAGAAGGGCTGAGCGGCCGGCCCGGTATTCTGACATGGTGTCGGTGGCGGAAATACCGGACTGGCCACTCTATATTCGCTCCATAAGACGCACTGACATTTTCCCCCCTTTTATGGGGGGAAAAAAGTGCGTCTTATGGAGCGAAAAATACGGCAATCATAAATAGACAGTTCATTTTTAATGTTTTGTTGAGAAATTTTTACTGGGAATGACTGCCTGAAGTCTGGAACCCATGGGCATTACCAAAGACTGGGTTTCCTGCTTTCTGATGCTTTGCCAGGCTCTAACTGCAGCTGTCTTCAGTTGTTCTTTGTTTGTGGGTCTTTCTGCCTTTAGTTTTGCCTTCAGCAAGCAAAATTCATGCTCAATTGGGTTGAGATCAGGTGACTGACTCGGCCATTGTAGAATATTCCACTTCTTTTCCTTCAAATTCTCCTTGGTTGCTTTTGCAGTGTGTTTTGGATCTTAGTTCATCTGTACTGTGAAGCGTCATCCAATCAACTTTGCAGCATTTGGCTGAATCTGGACTGACAGTATATCTTTAAACACTGCAGAATTCATCCGGCTGCTTCTGCCTGCTATCACATCATCGATAAACACCAAGGGCATAGTGCCACTGGAAACCATGCATGCACATGCCTTCACACTGCCTCCACTATGTTTTACAGATGGCATTGTGTGCTTTGGATCATGAGCTGTTCCAAGCCTTCTGCACACTTTTTTCTTCCCGTCATTCTGGTACAAATTAACCTTAGTTTCATCTGCCCAATGAATGCTTTTCCAGAACTGGTCTGGCTTTTTTAGATGTTTTTTGGCAAAGTCTAATCTGGCTGTCAGGGGAAAAGAGCTTTGCATCTGCGCACATCTGTGTGCCAGTGCCAGGCTCCCAGTGGCCATGCCAGTGCGCATGCGCACACCCGAGTGTGCACATGCTGACGTGCACAGGCGGGCTATTTAAACCCCTGCTGCAATCAGAATGGTACCTTCTGGTCTACTACATTCTGTATCTGTATCCTAACTCCTGTGATCTACCTGCTTGACTCTGACTATGATTGAACTTCCGCCTGCACCGACCCAGCTTTCCCTTTGACTATCCGCTTGCCTACTCCTCTGTACCTGATCCTGCCCGAGTGATCCTGACCCAGCCTGCCTGACTATTCTACCTCTCCTGCCTGTGACTACTTTTGGCTACCAGCTGCCACGGTCCTCCGCATCTCAGCTACACCTCTCTGCTGCTGCACCTGCTCACCTGCATCCTGCTACTGACCTGCATCCTGGTCTTCTGGGTCTTCACCTGCCAGATGTCACCGCAGACCCGTCAGGCACTCGTGCCCCTCCTAGCTCGTTGCCTTCTGTCTACCCTATCAGGAGTCCCGAGCGGGATTGGTAAGAGGGCGCCCTCTCTCCACATCAGGTACGTTACACTGGCTTTTCTATTCTTCAGGCTTCTGAATGGTTTGCACCTTGTGATGAACCCTCTGTATTTGCTCTCTTGAAGTCTTCTGTTGATTGTAGACTTTGACAATGATATGCCCACCTCCTGGAGAGTATCCTTCACTTGTCTGGATGTTGTGCAAATGGGTTTTTCTTTACCACACTTAGAATCAACTCCAGACTTTTTACCTGCTTAACTGATGAAGAAATAACGAAGAAGTAGCCAACACCTGGCCATGAAACAGCTTTTGATTCAATTTTCCAATTACTTTTGGTCTTTTGAAAAAGGGGGGATGGCTACTCTTAAGAGTTGTAATTCCTAAACCCTTCTTCCAATTTGGATGTACACACCAATCAAATTAAACCTGAGTTTGTGCACTTTTAGCCCATATCCATTTTATAACTATAGCTTGAATATGTTTTGATAAATACCTGAAAAAAAAAAGTTGTGCCTGTGTCCAAATATATATGGACCTAACTGTGTGTGTGTGTGTGTGTGTGTGTGTGTATGTATGTATGTGTGTGTGTGTATATATATATATATATATATATATATATGTGTATGTATATGTGTGTGTGTATATATATACATATGTATATGTGTGTGTGTGTATATATATATATATATGTGTGTGTGTATGTGTGTATATATATATATATATATGTATGTGTGTGTGTGTGTGTGTGTATATGTATATATATATATATATATATATATATATATATATATATATATATATATATATATATATATATATATATATATAGCCATCATCAATTACATATACTATCATTGCCTGTAGCAGTACTATCGTGTATAAATCTTCCAACAGTAGTTACATAGAAAAGTGACTGCAGAAAAGACACAAGTGGTACATCAAGTCTGCCCTTGTTTTTTGTAATAAATGTTTTGTTTTTTTTCTTTAACTTTTTTTTGTCTGAGTATAGATCTATTTTTCCCAAGTATGTTTGAAGCCCATTACTGTTAACAGTCCGTTAATAGTAATGGGCTTCAAACATACTTCAAACATTACCTCTGCTGGAAGTCTATTCCAAGCATCAACTACCCTTTCACCTACCTAGCCTTTCATTGTTGTTCTTTTACTCCGTGGGTTGAGATATTTAACAAAAAAAAAAAATATATATAAATGTTCCACTGTTATATTGTTCAACTTTTATTTTATGCTAATCAGACAAGCAAATAAATGATTAAGATCAATTCTCAGTAGGTAATACAAATAGTCCTTTTCACGAGCTTGCTAAATCTGTGACCTTTGAGCTGAACCAACTGTTTGTGTCCCTTCCTCATATCCATGTACAGGCTACAGTACAGTCGTATGTAGATGAGAGAGAAATGTGTGGAAAATATATGCTGCAGAGAAGGCAGTGGGTTTAATATTGGAAGGTAATGAGAGAAATGAACACCAATTTACTTAATAAAATGTTAATGTTGGTTTTGGGTGGTCTCACTCTTTAAACTGGATATTTGGGGCCTGGTTTACTATTCCTACTTATGTTTTTAATGTGAGATAAAATGAGTATACATTTATGTAAAAAAATACAGTGTGAAAAAGCAGTTTTCTTTGACATAATTGGATATTTAGCATAAGCGCAAGTTCAGTTCACCTTGCTTCATACTATAGTAAATCAGGTGCATACTCACTACTCTGTACTTCATATTTCATTTTTATAAATGTTGTTTTCTCTCACAGGCTTCTGGATTTTGTTATGTCAATGACATTGTGATTGGTATTTTGGAGCTTCTCAAGTAAGACTTTAAATTTGTTTTCTCTCTTTTATTCATATTTAAGTGTAGCTTAATTTCAGTTTCAAATGAATTGAAGTAAATGTTTTGTAATGGAAATCTTTGACAAAATAAATATCTGTGTGAAAAACTTCAAATGGTAACTTGTCATGCGGGCATATAGCAGCCATCTTAGACTTCTCTCACAAGTATTTTGCTTCATGACAGACTCACGTTTAAAGCTCAAACCTACAAAGGTTTTATGCCTTTATAAAATAAATGTCAGTTCCAAATTTGTAAAATGGAAAACCAGGAGGACTCCTACCAATCTGTAGGAGTGATCTGTTCAAAGCAGTAAATCCAAGAGGCACTGGGACTTCAATGCAGAGTAGGAAAGAAGACAGTCATTTAAAGAGCTCACTGGGTTTGGTTGGGAAGTTCACATGCAGCCAAGACTACCTTCCAAACAGAAGTGTCACCAGAGTGCCAGACCATATTATTCATAAAGGAGTCAAAGTGGCCTCATTGATTCACAAATAACCAACATGTTTCAGGGCTATCAGGGGAAAACATGTCTGCTCCTCATTCCCCCCCACCTACCAGGGCTAAGCAATTACAAAATTTACATTTCTACATCCTATCTATCTCACTTATTGTCCACAATACATGGTTGCTGTAAAAATAGAACACTGCAGTGGCTGCAATATAAAATAAATTGTATAGTACCTCAAGGAACCCCATGCAACCTCTTGGGAACCCCATGGGTTTAATGGATCCTGGTTGAGCAAAGATGGTTTAGAATCTCTATCTCTATTTTAGATTTATGATAAAGAAAAACTCAGATTTTAGTCGTTTTTTTATATGAGGGTGTAAAGCCTATGAAATGTTTGGCCTTGGACCCTTTGTTTCTTGGTTAATTTTTACAATAAAGCATCATTGCCAAGATGCCAAGAGCATGAGCAGTGACTGATGTCATTTCTCTAGGCTAAAGGAACAGAGTCACAAGATATTAGACTGCTTAAAGCAGAGAACTTTGATAAACATTAATATCAAATTCATAATTCGTCACTTATATTGATGGCAAGCTTGCAAAATATTTGTTTTTTATGATTAATCATCAATTATCATAATTATTAAAATGTGTGACTGGCCTTGAACCAGTGAGAGAGTTAATTTCTTCAGTTATAGCTGAGACAGAAGTTAGTTAGCTGAGCTATCCAGCTGAGAGCTAAGTACCGTAATTTTTCGCTCCATAAGACGCACTTTTTTCCCCCCAAAAAAAGGGGGGAAAACATCAGTGCGTCTTATGGAGCGAATATAAAGCGGCCGGTCCGGTATTTCTGCCGCCACCATGTCAGAATACCGGGCCGGCCGCTCAGCTGTTCTCTCTGCAGGACCTTACCTTTTCCTCGCTCCAGCGCTGCACAGTCTTCCCGCGCTGGCTTCTGTGACAGCCGGGTGCCCACTGCGCATGCGCTGCGCTTTGTGAATGGTCCAGTGTTTTCTGGGACACATGACAGGTCCCAGAAGGCGCCGGGCCATTCACAAAGTGCAGCGCTTCTCGCGCAGTGGGCACCCGGCTGTCACGGAAGCCGGCGCGGGAAGAAGAGAGAGAGACAACGCCGCGGAAATTGGAGCCGGGTACCTGTCAAATTCAAATCCCCTGCACCGTCTGCAGTCTCTGGTCATCCCCTCAGTCTGCAGTCTCTGGTCATCCCCTGCACCGTCTGCAGTCTCTGGTCATCCCCTGCACCGTCTGCAGTCTCTGGTCATCCCCTGCACCGTCTGCAGTCTCTGGTCATCCCCTGCACCGTCTGCAGTCTCTGGTCATCCCCTGCACCGTGCAGTCTCTGGTCATCCCCTGCACCGTCTGCAGTCTCTGGTCATCCCCTGCACCGTCTGCAGTCTCTGGTCATCCCCTGCACCGTCTGCAGTCTCTGGTCATCCCCTGCACCGTCTGCAGTCTCTGGTCATCCCCTGCACCGTCTGCAGTCTCTGGTCATCCCCTGCACCGTCTGCAGTCTCTGGTCTCCCCTGCACCGTCTGCAGTCTCTGGTCATCCCCTGCACCGTCTGCAGTCTCTGGTCATCCCCTGCACCGTCTGCAGTCTCTGGTCATCCCCTGCACCGTCTGCAGTCTCTGGTCTCCCCTGCACCGTCTGCATCCCCTGCACCGTCTGCAGTCTCTGGTCATCCCCTGCACCGTCTGCAGTCTCTGGTCATCCCCTGCACCGTCTGCAGTCTCTGGTCATCCCCCTGCACCGTCTGCAGTCTCTGGTCATCCCCTGCACCGTCTGCAGTCTCTGGTCATCCCCTGCACCGTCTGCAGTCTCTGGTCATCCCCTGCACCGTCTGCAGTCTCTGGTCATCCCCTGCACCGTCTGCAGTCTCTGGTCATCCCCTGCACCGTCTGCAGTCTCTGGTCATCCCCTGCACCGTCTGCAGTCTCTGGTCATCCCCTGCACCGTCTGCAGTCTCTGGTCATCCCCTGCACCGTCTGCAGTCTCTGGTCATCCCCTGCACCGTCTGCAGTCTCTGGTCATCCCCTGCACCGTCTGCAGTCTCTGGTCATCCCCTGCACCGTCTGCAGTCTCTGGTCATCCCCTGCACCGTCTGCAGTCTCTGGTCATCCCTGCACCGTCTGCAGTCTCTGGTCATCCCCTGCACCGTCTGCAGTCTCTGGTCATCCCCTGCACCGTCTGCAGTCTCTGGTCATCCCCTGCACCGTCTGCAGTCTCTGGTCATCCCCTGCACCGTCTGCAGTCTCTGGTCATCCCCTGCACCGTCTGCAGTCTCTGGTCATCCCCTGCACCGTCTGCAGTCTCTGGTCATCCCCTGCACCGTCTGCAGTCTCTGGTCATCTGGTGCACCGTCTGCAGTCTCTGGTCCCCCTGCACCGTCTGCAGTCTCTGGTCATCCCCTGCACCGTCTGCAGTCTCTGGTAATCTGTACTGGTCATCCCTGCACCGTCTGCAGTCTCTGGTCATCCCCTGCACCGTCTGCAGTCTCTGGTCATCCCCTGCACCGTCTGCAGTCTCTGGTCATCCCCTGCACCGTCTGCAGTCTCTGGTCATCCCCTGCACCGTCTGCAGTCTCTGGTCATCCCCTGCACCGTCTGCAGTCTCTGGTCATCCCCTGCACCGTCTGCAGTCTCTGGTCATCCCCTGCACCGTCTGCAGTCTCTGGTCATCCCCTGCACCGTCTGCAGTCTCTGGTCATCCCCTGCACCGTCTGCAGTCTCTGGTCATCCCCTGCACCGTCTGCAGTCTCTGGTCATCCCCTGCACCGTCTGCAGTCTCTGGTCATCCCCTGCACCGTCTGCAGTCTCTGGTCATCCCCTGCACCGTCTGCAGTCTCTGTCATCCCCTGTGTCCGCAGTCTCTGGTCATCTCCTGTACTGTGTCCAGTCTCTGGTCATCCCCTGGTCTCTCTCTGTACTGTGTCCGCAGTCTCTGGTCTCCCCTGCACCGTCTCATCTCCTGTCATCCCCTGCACCGTCTGCAGTCTCTGGTCATCCCCTGCACCGTCTGCAGTCTCTGGTCATCCCCTGCACCGTCTGCAGTCTCTGGTCATCCCTGCACCGTCTGCAGTCTCTGGTCATCCCCTGCACCGTCTGCAGTCTCAGTCTCCCCTGGTCATCAGTCTCTGGTCATCCCCTGTCCGTCTGCAGTCTCTGGTCATCCCTGCACCGTCCGCAGTCTCTGGTCATCCCCTGTACACCGTCTGCAGTCTCTGGTCATCCCCTGTACACCGTCTGCAGTCTCTGGTCATCCCCTGCACCGTCTGCAGTCTCCATCCCCTGCACCGTCTGCAGTCTCTGGTCATCCCCTGCACCGTCTGCAGTCTCTGTCATCCCCTGCACCGTCTGCAGTCTCTGGTCATCCCCTGCACCGTCTGCAGTCTCTGGTCATCCCCTGGTCTGCATCTCCTGTCATCCCCTGCACCGTCCGCAGTCTCTGGTCATCCCCTGCTGCAGTCTCTGGTCATCCCCTGCAGTCTCAGTCTCTGGTCATCTCCTGCACCGTCTGCAGTCTCTGTCCCCTGCACCGTCTGCAGTCTCTGGTCATCCCCTGCACCGTCTGCAGTCTCTGTGTCATCCCCTGCACCGTCTGCAGTCTCTGGTAATCTGTACTGTGTCCCCGTCTCTTCATCTCCTGTACTGTGTCCGCAGTCTCTGGTCATCTCCTGTACTGTGTCCGCAGTCTCTGGTCATCTCCTGTACTGTGTCCGCAGTCTCTGGTCATCTCCTGTACTGTGTCTGCAGTCCATTGGTTCAGAATATTTTTTTTCTTGTTTTTCGCCTCTAAAACCTAGGTGCGTCTTATGGTCAGGTGCGTCTTATGGAGCGAAAAATACGGTATTCTATAAAAAGGCATAGCTGGTTAGAAGACTCTGGTGTAGAATGTCATGGAGTAAACCAAAATAGAATTAGTATGCAATAATATATTCTAATAATATCTGTGTGTATTCAGCTTATGTTTTATATGTTGGTAATGTAACATATGTAGATTTTTTGGTTATACAACATTATTGAGATATTATGTTGTAAAGATACTGTTCATGATACGCTTTACTTTGTTATTTTAAGCCATTGTGTGATAAAGTAAAATCACACTTTATTTTTTACTTCTCCAGCTCTTTAATTATTCGCAAAATCGCCTATAGACACTAAAGAAGTATTATATGCGTCTCAGAAAATTCTACAAACTTGTTTGTGAGATTAAACATATTTATGACATCTAGAAATGTTACATTAGAAGATAAGAACTTGTTTGTGCAATTAAAGATGTCTACTTGCTTGAGAAGTTAGAAATCTTTAAATTTAGGGTAGATAAGAAGCTGATTTGAAGCAAAAGTGTGATATTCTTAGATAACGCAGTATAGTGGCTGGGCGTGACTCTGTTATCTTCCTGGAACCTTTCTGCTAGCTCCTCCTAGAGTGGGTGTGGTGCCCGCCCACTTCGAGAAAGCTGCCAGAAAAAGGGTTTAAAAGCGGAGAGCTCAAGCGTAATCGATTGGGAGCAGCCTTCCTATGCAGACGAGGACACTCTGATGCTGGGACTCTTGCCAAAGCTATATGGGCTCATCGATTGATCGCGTTTACGGCTGCCCCGTGACCCCCTGTGCATTATGGTTCCGATGGGGTCTTTTCCTTCCCGTCTTGCTATAGCTTTGGTAATGTATTCTATGCTGTGATGCTGTCAAAAGATGTCTATTTCATGCGGTAATGCTCACATTATTATTGGTGTGGGTTATTATGCAGATTGTGATGACTATAAGACTGTCGTGTGATAATAAAAGTGGAGTTTTGACAGTACAAGAATATTGCAGTTGGATTCTGTCATTTCTTGGAATGCCGAGTGAATGCTATGATGTGCCAGGGCAGGTGTTCATTTGGTAGACAGTCTCTCATATGCTTAGAATAATTAATGTTGTAAATGCTGGTTAATGTACCTGTGTGACTACCTGTCTATTGTGTGTATATGACTTTCTTGTAGTTATTGCATCCAGAATTACAAATCGGAGGGAAATATGTATCAGCTAAAATTAAAATCTTATACAAGCATATATGTAATTATTACATTATTTTTATAGTCAATAGATCTAAGCATTAGCCAGCCGGTAAGTCTGGACTGTGAAATTACTTTGATTAAAATAAATTGTACGCTAATTAAAGCTAGTTTTTAATCTCCAAACGCCAGTTCTGCAGTATGCATGAAATTTTTTATCAGCTGTTACAGTGATTTGTTCATTCTGCTTATAGCAAATTAAATATCGCTTTCAGTTTAGTTTCAGTGTCTGTATATAGGAAAGATATCTCTGATTTCTGCAACATCAAGCTACACTTATACTTAGAGCCAAGTAAGAGCTGGGCAAGTGACATCTGTAGACTAAGCTACACTTTTAAAGTGTTATTATTTATCTTAAATTTCCTTTATTTTATTATTTGCTACCGACTGAAGGCTGTATTTGTTTATGGTGACGGTTTCTTGTCTTAGGGAGCATTGCCACTATTTTATGGCAAGAGATCTGCTTAAAATAAACCACATCTCTTGAGTATGTATGTAGCTGTCTTTATAAGGTCTCATTCACATGGGCATTGAAACCTGAATCCTGTGAATGAGCAATGTGTTTATACGGCGTGAGCTGCAAAGTGCTGCTTCCGGGCAGCCCATGTAATTGTATGGGGGAAACAGCAGCTTCCATCCTGGCAAGTGTACTAGTGAGTGGCCTCAAATACCCTGTCTGCATTCAGGGCTGCTCACCTGCATCTGTGTGAGTGTCAGATTGGACTAAGCAATTGTGTCTGTGCTATCGCTGCATCCCATACCCTTTAATGGGTTGCCTGCACACAGCAGCTGGCAGCTCAAGGTACATAAACCCATGACTCATTCACAGACTATGGCCTTGGTACTCATTTTGGAGTCCTTATAGTCCAAGACAAAAAAAAAACCCAACTATTTAAAAAATCTTTTTCATTTAGCCAGATACATGTAAATATATGTAATGAGAATATTCAGAATTTTCATATGCAGTCATCAAGTGGAGCTATTGGCCCCCTTTTCATGGTTTCCAGGGTCTCCTTAGCAGGGATATTTCAACAAAGTAGCTGCAGACCTTAGCAGTTCAAACTGAAAAGTACACACACAAGCAAGGAATGATCCATACTTTATTGGATTCCTTTTTCCAAGGTTTCATAGACTACTACTGCTGTGCTCTCTCTTTATATTACCAAAGTGTGCAAGTTTTTCATGTGTTAAACGTTTAGTACTAAAAAAAATGTATTTTGTAAAGATGGGGGAAAAAAACAATATTAAGCAGCAGTTTAGAGAATTTTACAAACTTAAAAAAGACATCCAAACCATTACAGTTTCTCTTTAACCACTTGCCTTCCAAAAGATTTACCCCCCTTAATGACCGAGCCAGGCCATTTTTGGTTTTTTTTTTGGCACTGCACTATTGTAACTGGTAATTGCGCGCGGTCAAAACTAAATTTATGTCCTTTATTCACACAAATAGAGCCTTCTTTTGCTGGTATTTTTGTGATATAAACAAAAAAATACAGAAAAAGTTTTGGTTATAGAAAATATATAGTAAACTCAAAGTTGGTCATAAATTTAGGCCAGAATGTATCCTACACGTCTTTGGTAAAAAATAACAATCACAATACATGTATATTGGCTTGTATGAAAGTTATAGCATCTACAAACTAGTATGTGTATATATTATTTATGTATGTTATATATATATAATATATATATATATATATATATTATTTATATAATTACATACATAGTGCATCCAGAAAGACTGTGTATTTTTCATTATTTTTAACTTGCCTTTTCCATGTTGGATAACCACAGTGGTTTCCTGTAAGAGTGCTAGAGGCTGTCAGAGCTGCATTTTGCTTTATTGAAAGAGTTGATCAGAGTGAGAGATTATGGGGAAAGCCCTGCATGTTCTTTCTCTTTTAAACAATATAGAACCGATCTTTGAAATTTGAATGTGATTGATGCTTTTTACTGATTGCAGTGCATCCAAAAAGTATTGACAGTGCTTAACTTTTGCCACATTTTGCTATGTTACAGCCTTATTCCAAAATGGATTAAATTCATTTTTTTCCTCAACATTCTACAAATATTACCCCATAATGACAACATGAAAGAAGTTCATTTTGAAAATTTAGCAATTTATTAAAAATAAAAAACGAAAAAAAAAACCACGTACATAAGTATTTACAGCTTTTGCTCAATTTTAATGGATAGAAAACTGGCTAAAAGATCGTATTCAGAGAGTAGTGGTTAATGATTCATACTTTGAATGGTCTAGGGTTGTCAGTGGTGTACCCCAAGGTTCAGTTTTGGGACCCTTACTTTTTAATATATTTATAAACGAAATAGGGTCTGGGATTATAAATCCCATTTCAGTCTTTGCAGATGACACCAAGCTGTGCAGTGGAATAACATCCTTACAGGATGTCTCCAATTTACAAGCCGACCTCAATGCACTGTTTAATTGGGCAACTATGTGGCAAATGAGGTTTAATGTTGATAAATGTAAGGTTCTGCACGTGGGGGCTAAGAATATGCATGCATCATACATACTAGGGGGGGTACAACTGGGGGAATCAATGATAGAGAAGGTTCTGGGAGTTCTGGTAGATCACAAGCTTAATAATGGAATGCAATGCCAAGCTGCGGTTTCTAAAGCGAGCAAAATCCTCTCTTGTATTAAAAGAGGTATATACTCCAGAGAGAGAGATATCATTTTACCCCTGTACAAATCATTAGTAAGACCTCATCTGGAATATGCAGTTCACTTTTGGGCACCAATTCACAAAAAGAACATTGGGGAGCTGGAGAAGGTACAGAGAAGGGCAACAATACTGATAAGAGGCATGGAAGAGATCAGCTATGAGGAAAGATTAGCAACTGAATTTATTCTCTCTTGAGAAGAGGAAATTAAGGGGGGATATGTTCAACATGTGTACATACATCAGTGGTTCATATAGTGAACTCAGTGTAGAGTTATTCACCCTGAGGTCATCACAGAGGACAAGGGGGCATTCTCTACGTCTGGAGGAAAAGAAATTTAATCTCCAAACATGGGAAGGTTTCTTAACAGTGAGAGCTGTGAAAATGTGGAATAGACTCCCTCAAGAGTTGGTTCTGGCCAGCTCAGTGGATTGCTTTAAAAAAGGCCTGGATTCTTTCTTAGATACACAGAATATAACTGGATACTAACATTTATAGGTAAAGTTGATCCAGGAAATATCTGATTGCCTCTCGGGGGATCAGGAAGGAATTTTTTTTTCCCTGCAGGAGCAAATTGGATCATGCTTTGCTGGGGGGGTGGGGTGGGGGTTTCCTTCCTCTGGATCAACTGTGGGTGTAGGATTGTAAGATTATAACTTTTTTTTTTTTTTTTAATGGTTGAGCTGGATGGACTTTTGTGTTTTTCAGAGTGACTATCGGGTGCTTGGTTACCTCCCTGGCTAAGACCTTTCTTCCTCAATTGCTCATTTTGGCCAGTCGGCCCGCTCTAGGAAGATTCCTGGTGGTTGCAAACTTCTTCCATTTACGGAAGATAGAGACTACTGTGGTGCTCACTGGGACATTCACTGTTTCAATGCTGCCCCCCCCCCCCCCCCCCCCAAATTGCCCCTTTTTGAAAAGTAGACACCCTAAGAAATTTGATAAGAGGCATGGTGAGTATTTTGCGGATACCATTTTAACAGGATTTTGAAACAGAATAAAAGAAAAGAAAAAAATGCATTTTCGTTTTCTCTCCGTTTTCCAGAAACTTGTGGAAACAAATGAGAGCTGCAAAAAACTTGCGTGCCTCTTAGCAAATACTTTGGTACTATCCTGACATTTCAGGGCCAATGATAGAAGCTTATGCCACACATCACCCACTCTTGAAGACCAAGCCTTTTCTGACACTTTGAGCCCCCCAAACATTATATATATTTTTTTTAAAGCAGGGGCCCTAGAGAATAAAATGGTGGGTGTTGAAATTTATGTCACAGTGTTTGCGCAGCGTTTTTTCAAATGCAAATTTCGTATGAAAAAATACACTTTTTAGAATTTCAATACATAAAAACACAGTATGTTGCCTGATTGTTTGATAAAATATAAAAGATCTTGTTACGCCGCGTAAATGGACACCGAACATGACATGCTCTAAAATTGCGTACGCCACTGCAACAGAGAAATATTACATAAATTTGTATAATTCATAGGCGATGCTTTAAAAGCCTTTACAGGTCACCACTTTAGTTTTACTCAGGAGTTCTAGTGCTAGAATTACTGCCCTCAATATGACATTTGCGGTGATACCTCACATGCATGGTGCAATCTCTGTTTACATATTGCCATGGGACCAGCACTTGCGTTTGTGCGCAAGCACAGGGGTGGAGGTGATTTTTTTTTGGTTTTTTTATTTTTACATTGTACCTTTTAACTTTTTTTTCAATTACTTTTATTGTTATCACAGGAAATGTAAATATCCCCTGTGATAGTAATAGCCAGTGACAGGTATTCTTTTCTGAGAAATCTGGGGTCTATTAGACTCTAGGTCTCTCTCCTGCTCTTAACGCATCTGATCACACCAAGATCAGTGTGACCAAATGCTTTCCCAATTTTAAAATGGCGCTGTTTATATCTAGCGAAATGGAAATCATTAAATGTTCGTAGCTTCCGGTCTCTTAGACCATAGAGATGATTGGAAGCATTCCAGTCTCCGATAAGCTCTATTGTCAGCCAGTGGAACTGCCAGCTGCATTTATGGGTTTCCTGGTGGGAAGGGAGAGCCCAAGAAATACCTTGGATGGCGGCGGGAGGGGAGACCCTTCCCGCTGCTTGTAAAAGAAATCCAGCAGCTATTTAGCAGATAGGTTTGTTTTTACATGAAAGACGACCACCAGCTGAAAAAATTGATACCAGGATGATGCCTGTAGTTGCAGGCATCATCCCGGTATAACCACACAAATTCCAGCAAAGTACCAGTATGTTGTTGCTGGTCCATGCTGGGCATGCATGTAACAGCAGAGAACATGTGCATATGATGCATTGGGTCTATGGACCAACTTGACTGCATATCATTCTTTTTTTGTAATGCCCATGTTGAGGCTTAGTTTTAAATTCAGAAACTGTGATAGGTTTCCATGTTAACTGTCTGGCAAGAGCTGAATTAGGGTGGGTGACGATGTATTGTTGTGTGTGTATAAAGTGCTTTGGCCCACAATCAATTAATACAAATCTTCAGTAAGAAAACAGCTGAGGGTCTGAACGGGGCTGATCCTGCTAACACTGCGTTTTTGGGACACACGCACACACGCCACCTATACCGTGAGTGGGATATTGTGCGGGCAATCTAACGCTGGTTGACCCTGGCTGGGAGGGGGGCACTAACTGACCCTGGGATGTCGCTAGTGGCAGTAATACAGTGATCAGTGAAAAAATTTTTGTATACTGACACTACTAATGGCACTGGCTGGGTGATGGGGTGATCAAAGAGTTAAATGTGGTAATCTAACTTGTGCGTGTAAAGTGTTCGTTATTTTCTCCCTGGACAGCATAGGGGGCAGCGGGGGGCGCATGCACACCCGGAAATGGAAAGCGACGTAAGATTATGTTGCTTTGCCAAAAGCCGCTGCTCGCCCACACATTGCTGGCGGGCGGCAAGTAGTTAAAAAAACTATTTCTCTGACATTTTACACATTTTCCTTTTTGTTTTTTTAAATACTTTCATCAGAGTTCTGTAATGTTACTATAGCACTTTGGGGGTGATCAGGGATTTTTTTTTTTTTTTTTTTTTTTTACACTTTGTAGTGCAAGAGCAATGAAGATCATTGCTCTGCAATACAAGGCTTGCTTTGAACTGTCATGAATATATTAAGTTCATGACAGTTCAATATAATAGTGATCTGTGATTGGCTCCAGCTGGTCACATGGTACAGGGTGGTGTGATTGGCCCCATGTGTCATGTGAGAGCTGTGAACCAATCACAGCTTTCTAGATACAGAAGCAAAGCTTTCTGAATCAGATTGACTCATAAAAACTTTGTCATTGTGATCATGTGATCCCATAGCGATCACGCGGGCGGGGGGGGGGGGGGGGTGCAGTGCCCTCATCTGTTGGTCAAAAAACAGCAACATACAGGTATGTCGCTGGTTCTGTAGCTGCTGCCTGTCCTCAATACATTGAAAGTTAACCCGAAAGTGGTGAACTTTCAGCTCTAAATGCAGTTCAGTGGTAAATTGTCAAGCTCTTTGCCTGTTTCTACATTTTTGTTTTTAGATGTTCTTTGTCAGAAGAAAGAAATCATATCCAGTAATGTTTAGGCCTGCAGAAGGAAATGAAGCCCATTTCAGGCATCACTTGGTTTCTGTGCACTCCAACAGGTAGCCACTGTACACTATGCCGATTGCTTTCTTCTGGTGAAAATGCTAGTTACCTGACTCTGCCAATTGTATAGGGGGAAAAAGTTTACAAATCATGAGTTCTGACTTCAGGCTGACCTCAGGCTTGTTCTGGGCCAGTGCTTTCAAAAGATTTTTAGCCAGTAAAATACGGGCAGATAGCGTGAAGTCAGCAGTGCAGCCTTTATATTTGTACAGGTTTTCTGTGACGCACGATGGCTGGTATACAGGAGGGTTTTGTAAATGATCTCTTGTTCTCTAGGTATCATCCACGGGTCCTCTATATCGATATTGATATCCATCATGGAGATGGAGTACAGGAAGCATTTTATCTAACCGACAGAGTCATGACAGTCTCATTTCACAAATATGGCAACTATTTCTTCCCTGGGACAGGTAAGAGCTTTGTCTACTTCCTGAATCAGCAGGTTCACAAATATAATATGTGTTGTGGCTATTGAAATGAAGAAGGAAAACCTTGAAATTATCTTGTAACTTATAACTGATAAATTCCTGTTGCTGCTGGTGGTAAAGGGCCAGTTGTATGTGGATCCAACAAGTGAGGGAGGGGGAGGTAGAGATATGACCATAGTGCTGGGGTCTGAGTTCTAATATCCAGGCTGGCTCAGAACTACTTCCACCCACATACTGGTAGTGTCAGGGAACGAGAAGATCCCCGCGGCGCACGAATCTGCACATGCGTAGGATCCCGACAAGACATTCAGGAAGGCAGGCACTAGGACCCAGGCTTGCCTGTCACCAATGACAGCTCCGGGCAGGCACTAGGACCTAGGCGCGCCTGTCGGCGCCGGGCAGGGTATTTAAACTGGCCATTGCAATGTCCAAGTTGCCGTATGGTCTTGATCCTCTGCTTGTGTTCTGATCCTGTGAGAGTAGCTTGTTGCCGAACCCAGCCTGATCCTGATTACTGCTGACCGTCTCCTGCCCTGACCCCTTACTTGCCTTTGACCACTCTTCTGCCTGCTCCTGATCGTCTGACCTCCTTTTGCTGAACTTGGCCGGTGACCCAACTATCCTCTGCCTGCTGCTCTGTTCCGTTCTGCCTCCAAAGTTACCGACCTGGCCTGTCTGACTCCGCTACTTGCTTCACAGTGTGTCTGCATCCATCCATCCTGCAGGGATCCATCCGTCTACCGCTCAGGTCTGCCCTGCCTCTTCACGTCAGGCTCTTACCCAGCTACGTTCCACTAGCGGTCCTCTCTACTACAGTTTGGGTGTACCCGGGGGCCGCAACCTGGTCTCAGCCTGCTCCAAGTCAATCCCCACCATCTGACGAACAAGCAGACTGGGGCTTAGACTCCGCGCCCCGGGGAATCCCGGACTGTGGATCCATAGAGCTACCGTTAGCGAGTACGTGACAGGTAGGTAATTCAATCATCTAGTTCCCACAATAAATTGAAGAGGGATTGCCTTTTTAATTTTATCTTCAGCTTTGATGATGTTTTGAGTATTGTGGCTTTATTAAAATGTTACTAGCTTTTATTATTTTACATTTGTCATGTTTTTCTATCTGTGATGGATTGATCAACTTGCCTCCTTTTTGTTGAAAAATATTTTAAAAATGGTCTTGCTCATACTCCTTTTGTAGTTTTGCACTGCTTTTTTTTTTTTCCCCCCAAACTGTTTGGTGCACCTTTGACTGCTATTGATCAATGCACGGTTGCGTTTTTAACATAGAACTAGAGGAAAATTGTTTTTTCATTTTGTATAGAGTAAGGGAGGGTTATAACCATTGTCAGATTTTTTTTTTTTTTTTTTTTTTTTATTTTCCAACTATCTGTTTCCCGTTGCAGTTTTTCCTTTCACTTTCTGTCCTATAGCCAAACAGGAAGTGAGAGGAAATCCCTGCAAAATCTTCCTTTACTTTCAATGATAATGGTTAACAGGACAAATACAGAGGGTGAAACTTCCCAATAGGAGCACAGACAGCATTAAAAAGCTTTCTAATCCCTCTGCACTCTATCCAAAACTAAAATAAAAGTTTTGCCTGTAGTTATACTTTTAATGTCAGGTTTGATTGTGGCCTCTGACACCACATATGAGATTTAAACTAATTAATTTCACTCTTATTATCTTAGGTGACATGTATGAAGTTGGAGCTGAAAGCGGGAGATATTACTGTTTAAACGTGCCATTGAGAGATGGCATAGATGATCAAAGTAAGTAATTCATAATATACAGTACTTCAGTTTGATGACTGTACGGCATCGGTGCTGAACATGTCGCCCACCAGTGCTCAGCTTGGGGCTCATTCTGCTGTCAGATCAAAAACACAGAGGTCTGTATATGGTGTGCTTGCAACTCTTGCAGATCACAGCAATATTCAATGCTGGATCCACCAGCTGTCACTGAATCGATCATAGCTCTGTGCTTCTGCTCCTGCTACAGAGTGCTCCATAGGATAGCCTTGTAGCAGGAACTGTAACCACAACACTTCTGCTTTGTGTTTACAGAGGAAATTATGTAACATCATGTGTGATGTAACAGCATTTCCTTTCAGTTTCAAAGCTCATAGAGAGCTGATGCAGCTCTGCCTTGTCTCTCCTTCAGTAGTATAACACTGCTGTAGAAGTCAATTGCTGGCTGTTTACAGCCAGCATTAGATCACTAATAGAAGTACCGTATTTTTCGCTCCATAAGACGCACTTTTTTCCCCCCCCAAAAAGGTGAGAAAATGTCAGTGCATCTTATGGAGCGGCCGGTCCGGTATTCCAACCGCCGCTACTGTGTCAGAATACCGGGCCAGCCGCTCATCTCTTCTCTGCAGCAGGACCTTACCTGTTCCTCGGTGCAGCGCTGTACAGTCTTCCGGAACCGACTTCTTTAGTGTGGGCACTCGACTGTACCCACTGCGCATGCGCGAGAAGCCCTGCGCTTTGTGAATGGTACGGCGTCTTCTGGGACACATGACAGGTGGGTGCCCACACTAAAGGGAGGACAACTCCGCGGACGTGGGAGCGGGTACCTGTCAAATTCAGGTACCACCTCCCTCCCCAAAGGTCCACAGTCTCTTGATCATCCCCTGTACTGTCCGCAGTCTCTTGGTCATCCCCTGTACTGTCCGCAGTCTCTTGGTCATCTCCTGTACTATGTCCTCAGTCTCTTGGTCATCTCCTGTGCTATGTCTGCAGTGTCTGGTCATCCCCTGTACTGTCCGCAGTCTCTTGGTCATCTGTACTGTGTCCGCAGTCTCTGGACATCCCCTGTACTACGTACGCAGTCTCTGGTCATCCCCTGTACTGCCAGCAGTCTCTGGTCATCTCCTGTACTGTCTGCAGTCTCTTGTCATCCCCTGTACTGTCCACAGTCTCTTGGTCATCCCCTGTACTGTCTGCAGTCTCTTGGTCATCCCCTGTACTGTCCACAGTCTCTGGTCATCTGTACATCCCCTGTACTGTACTGTAAGCAGTCTCTGGTCATCCCTGTACTATGTCTGCAGTCTCTGACCATCTCCTGTACTATGTCTGCAATCTCTGGTCATCCCCTGTACTGTGTCCGCAGTCTCTGGTCATCCCCTGTACTGACCGCAGTCTCTGGTTATCTCCTGTACTGTGTCTGCAGTCTCTGGTTATCTCCTGTACTGTGTCTGCAGTCTCTGGTTATCTCCTGTACTGTGTCTGCAGTCTCTGGTCATCTCCTGTACTGTGTCTGCAGTCTCTGGTCATCTCCTGTACTGTGTCTGCAGTCTCTGGTCATCTCCTGTATTATGTCCGCAGTCTCTGGTCATCCCCTGTACTGTCCACAGTCTCTGGTCATCTCCTGTACTGTGTCCGCAGTCTCTGGTCATCTCCTGTACTGTGTCCGCAGTCTCTGGTCATCTCCTGTACTGTGTCCGCAGTCTCTGTCATCCCCTGCTGTCCACAGTCTCTGGTCATCTCCTGTACTGTGTCCGCAGTCTCTGGTCATCTCCTGTACTGTGTCCGCAGTCTCTGGTCATCTCCTGTACTGTGTCCGCAGTCTCTGGTCATCTCCTGTACTGTGTCCGCAGTGCTCTGGTCATCCCCTGTACTGTGTCCGCAGCCTCTGGTCATCCCCTGTACTGTGTCCGCAGCCTCTGTCATCCCCTGTACTGTGTCCGCAGTGTCTGGTCATCCCCTGTACTGTGTCTGCAGCGTCTGGTCATCCCCTGTACTGTGTCCGCAGTGTCTGGTCATCCCCTGTACTGTGTCTGCAGTGTCTGGTCATCCCCTGTACTGTGTCTGTGTCTGCAGTGTCTGGTCATCCCCTGTACTGTGTCTGCAGTGTCTGGTCATCCCCTGTACTGTGTCTGCAGTGTCTGGTCATCCCCTGTACTGTGTCTGCAGTGTCTGGTCATCCTCTGTACTGTGTCTGCAGTGTCTGGTCATCCCCTGTACTGTGTCCGCAGTGTCTGGTCATCCCCTGTACTGTGTCCGCAGTGTCTGGTCATCCCCTGTACTGTGTCCGCAGTGTCTGGTCATCCCCTGTACTGTGTCCGCAGTGTCTGGTCATCCCCTGTACTGTGTCCGCAGTGTCTGGTCATCCCCTGTACTGTGTCCTGCAGTGTCTGGTCATCCCCTGTACTGTGTCCGCAGTGTCTGGTCATCCCCTGTACTGTGTCCGCAGTGTCTGGTCATCCCCTGTACTGTGTCCGCAGTGTCTGGTCATCCCCTGTACTGTGTCCGCAGTGTCTGGTCATCCCCTGTACTGTGTCCGCAGTGTCTGGTCATCCCCTGTACTGTGTCCGCAGTGTCTGGTCATCCCCTGTACTGTGTCCGCAGTGTCTGGTCATCCCCTGTACTGTGTCCGCAGTGTCTGGTCATCCCCTGTACTGTGTCCGCAGTGTCTGGTCATCCCCTGTACTGTGTCCGCAGTCTCTGGTCATCTCCTGCACTATGTCCGCTGTGTCAGGGTCCTGTCCACGGCAGGCGTTCTGGAAGATCTGGCATTTCTGCCAATACTCTACATGGCCGCAGAAGTACACATCAGCCTCTTTATAAGGAGGCTCATCACTTCCTCTGGTTGCTGGGTGATCTCTAGCTCCCCATGCCCTGTTCCTGTTTCCTTTGTTTCTGACTTGTGATTTCCTGTTACCGACTCTGCTGGCTCCTGGACCTGTCTACTCTGATTTATCCCTGATCTGACCTCGGCTTGGCTTATGGGTACCCTCTCTCTTGCTCCTCTGTGAATGACCTTGGCTTTCCCATCTGACTACGTCCACTCTGATTCCCACCTGGTACCTGACCTTGGCTTGAACCGACTATCCAGTAAACATCTAAATCCTGGAAGGGCTTGCATACCACACACAGGCGCCTCCTGTCTGCAGACCTATCTCCGTGCACCAGCTGTGCTTCTGAGTGGACCACCAACCAGCACTCCTACAGGCGACCTGTTCAACTTTGGGCCTGACTCCCGCTGTCCCACTCTCAGGGCAGTCCGGAACTTAGCCGCAAGGGAAGCCCTCTCTCCATTGGCCTCCATCACCAGGTACATGATAGTATCATCCAGCCAGTATGTCCGAGGCCGAGAGAGGCGCTTCCGCACTAGAGGCCCTGTGCCAACAGATGACGGCACTTACCCAAGCAGTGAAGGATTTACAGCAAGGATACTTTCAGCTAGAAGGGCGTCTTCACTCCCTCTCTACTTGAGCGGCCAGGATCCCTCCGCCAGTTCCAACCCAGTAGCTGCACCTGCCAGTCAGTTTCCTGCCACCACTTCCGCTATTGTGTTACCACCTCCGGAACCCAGAGTTCCTACTCCGGAACGTTTTCTCGGGGATCGACGTAAGTTCAGAGCTTTCAAGAATGCCTGTGAATTATATTTTGCTCTGCAACCCATAACCTTTTCTCTGGAAGCAGTCAAGTTCGGGTTCACCATCTCCCTCTTGTCTGAAGAACCTCAGTCTTGGGCACATAGTCTTCTGGAACAAAAGAGCCCAGTGTGATAATTGTGCGCACAGATATGGACAATGACAACCGTAATTTGGATCTAACTCTGCAAATGTAATTCTCACTCCAAATCAGTCTCCCTCCCTTTTTGCTTGAATAGCATGTGGTGTGTGTGTGTATGCTGGAGTCACAAGGGCATTGGGCACAGCTGGATACGCTTCATGGTTGTAAACCCAATTAGCTGGTTCCATAATGTCTGACAGACCCTTGCCTTGGCTGGGTCCTAAAGCTATAAACCAGTCAGTCACTGGACATGAAAGCATTCCAGAAGTGGCAGTAAAACATACACCCCATTTGAAACCATTTTTCATACAATTTCATAAATCCCGGCAGGAACAAGATACAATAAATCTAAGCATATATTCAGGTCAGTTTAATACGAGTCACCTGATACCTCACACCCCTAGATAACGTCTACCAGGAGCAGAAAGCGATATCTCTTTAACTGTCACAGCCAGATATGTCATGTTTGATGTCTGGACGTTCAGGATATCATTCTGCATATTAATCCACCAATGCCTAGGCAGCTGCATACACCTATGGAAGGTTATTGACCATGGTATAAACGTGGGAGGGATTTGGTCCTAACCTGGGTCTCCGCCTAAACCCCCTCCCCAAAAGAGGCGATTGGCCCTTGGTTTCAGTAGACACCCCCTGCTGGGTTCCTATAAAACAGGCTGTCATGCCTGGAGAGAGAAGATGAAGAGAGTCTCCCTTTTTAACATCAGGAACCAACTTTTGTTTACCCTTTTGTCCAGGACACTTGAACTCTGCTTAAACCAGGACTTCTGCAAGTATTCTACCTTCTTAAACTGCTTTCTTTATCTCTCTGTTGTGTTATTGCTTCTCTCTCTCTCTCTTTCTTCCCCCCCCCCCCCCCTCTCTATAATTTGTTACATCTTTTCTGTAAATATTTTTATTGCACCATTTTTACCTTTTTAGTAATCCTATTTTCTGAAAAGTGTTGAGCTGTTTCTAAAGCTCTTTAATGCAAACTAAGAATTCCTGTCTCTGAAGAGTGCTACTGTGTGTTTTAAAACCTCTGGATACATCTGTCTGTGGTGACAGTGTGTATACAGACACTTATTCAAACATCATAGTGTTACTGCTGAGATTTGTGAGTTTCCTCCTTCTCTGTAAAAAGGTGGTGGCAGTGTGAAGGGTTAATTGCGTAATTAAGCTGACCCAGTAACAATCGCACTCAGGCTGTTGGCACCTAGACTGGGGTCCAGTGAGCTGGAAAATCTTTGTGC